TCCCATGACCCCACAGGTCACACCTTGACCCCACAGGTCACTGCTTGACCCTTGACCTTTGAGTCATCCATCATTTTGACAGAAAGTGGGTTATATTCATAATGATATAACATGTTTTGTATTTTTCCTCATCTACCCTTGTGTGTTTTTTTCGTTTTTCTTTTTAAAGGTAGCACAACCCCTGCTGGTTGCTGAATGACCTGTTCACCTGTTCCCCCCATGTTTTTGTCATGTGTGTCTTTTTGAATGGGTGTTCTTAAATGTAATTTCATTGTGCTCTGTACAATGATAATAATAAAATTTTAAAATTTTGAGTTTAAATTTAGCTGCAGCCTGTGGTGTGGCTGTAGGTTCGCTGTCCTGCTGGAACATCGACATGTCCACATTTCAGCTGCTCAACAGAGGATTTTAGTTCATAATACATAATTTTATCCAGTTTTTTAAATCTTTTGTTTCTCTTGTATCTTTCACAAGAACGTCCTGGTGAAGTAACCTTCCAACTTTACTTCTTCTAACACAGCTCTAACATGTGAACAGCTGTTGTCTCAAACTTTCTTCTGTTGGCTTTTTTTGTTTTGTCCATCTTTGAGTCATACTTTTAAATACTTTCTTCGTTGCCTAGTTCACCTAAAGTTTTTGTTTCAAAAATATGATTAAACTATCACTGCCAGTGTTAGCTGTAAATATTGTATGAATGTTTACTAGTAAAGATTCTCAGGAAGGGAAACCTAAAAAAAAACCCAATCAGGTGAAACTTTCCAGATTTGCTATAAATAAGAGGGCATATAGAAAGAGGCAGTTGTCATGACAACCAAAAACAGGCAGGGGCGGGTAAAAGGTTACATCCAAAATCTGTCAAGATACAAAAATACACAAGGTTAAAGGAAAAGGAAAAACCTGAGCAGAAACGACAGAGGGAGGGGTTTTATCAAACAGATCAATGTTTTGGACCCGACTGAACCCAGAAGAACAAAAACAGAAGCAGAGACAGAAAACTAACCGGAACTCATAAAGACGACAAAGTATCTGAAAATAAACAGAAACAAGAAAGCTTGACTATAATCATTATAATCAAACTGTTGTGATTTTTAGAGAAGTTCTCCTTTTAGATGTGCCCGAAACATTTCAAATCTGTTGACAGATCGTTGAGAAACTCAAGTGTCTCTCAGTCACTTTCAATAAAAAGCATTTAAGTTGTTCATGGTTGAAACAAGTAAAATCAGAAATGCTGAATAATAATTCTGTCCTTTTTTTATACTCTGTTTTATTTGACTCACAAAAGTGTAAAATTTTAACCAGATACTTTAATTTTTTATTTATTTATCTCACTTCTGTTTTCTTCCTTCTTGTACTTTTCTCTCCTTCTTTGCAGGAAACAGTAGAATATGCCTTCCTGATCATTTTTACAATAGAAACATTTCTGAAGATTATTGCCTATGGCCTGGTCATGCACCAGAACTCCTACGTCCGGAACGGATGGAACATGTTGGATTTTGTAATCGTCATAGTGGGGTAAGTTCAGAACAAACAAAATAATCTGGGATTATTTTCTTCAGTAACACTTTTTAACACAGAACTCAGATGTTTGAATCGGTCTCACTGTCAAAAATCAACAGTTTGTCATGTCCAGGCCAGATGTTTGTACACACGGACACACACACACACACACACACACACACACACACACACACACANCACACACACACACACACACACACACACACACACACACACACACACACACACACACACACACACACACTGATTATTTATCAGTAGACCACCTGGTCTCTGTAGGACTTCATTGTAAACTGACACTACACCCATGGTAACTGCATCACTTATCTATTTTTTTTACTCTTTCTTTCCCTCTCCTGTTCATTTCATTTTCTCTCATTCCCAGGTTGTTTAGTGTGGTTCTGGAGATGATAACCAAAGATCATGACTCTGGGGGCCAGTCTGGAGGCAAACCGGGGGGGTTCGATGTAAAGGCCCTGAGAGCCTTTCGTGTCCTGCGGCCCCTTCGCCTTGTCTCTGGAGTTCCCAGTGAGTTGATGCAGAAACCTCTCCACAGTTTGAAGCAAATGTTGTTGTTTCCAAGGGCAATCACATATCCTTTTTTTAATTTAACACCTACTGTAAGAAAGACGATGCCTGTGTGAAATCAGTTTTGCCATCTGTACTAATCTGGATCAGCCAGAAAGTTTTGTATGAACCAAATATGGAGGGTCCTCTTGTGGAGGGGAAAACACCTTTTTATTCATAACCTGGAAGATCAGAAAAACTATAAACTGGTTAAAGCCTGTTTATTGGGGAAAAATGGTAGACTTAAGGTTGTTGAAAAATTAGTTTGTTAAAGAAAATTAAAAGCAAATTGGTTCTCTCCAGGTGTTTTTCATATGATGGAAATCCTAAAATGCATTTCCACCAGTGATCTGAAGAATTGTTGGTTTTGGATTAGTAAACAGCAAAATCCTCACCTCACTGGTCTGTATGTTTCATCCAAGTATTTTTTTTGGGGGGGGGGGGGGTATTTGTGAGCTAATGTTGTGTTTGAAATAGAGTAAGTGTAAGGCGTAAATGTACTCTATTAATCCACTATGAGGAAATGATGTATCTGCATTTTTCATACCACACACGTGGAGTAGTGGGCTGCCATCTAAGGCCGGCGTCACACTACAAGAAAATCATGCCGATTTTTTCCCGTCTGACAATCTTAAGGAAGTCCAGATTATCGTGATGGCTCTAAAGATAATCATAGCAGATATTCCCGCCGTGGGTGGTGAGTTAAGAGTGATTTAGTCAGCTCTGCAGGACGTCGGGACCGCTCCGACCTCAAATCGGGGATATTCAACATGGCCCAATATCACAATGTGTGTGGCATTCACCCGAGCTCGCAGCCTGTTGAATGAGACGTGTAGCCAATCAGAAAGCGAGGTGACGTAAACACGGAGGGGATTCCAAAATACAGAAGACAAAACTGTCATGACTCACCAGAAAGTCTGCTGAATGTTAGAAGTCCCATGGAGTTGTTTTTCCTCTGGTAAAAATAGTCCACAAACGATCAATGTTGTTTCTTCCTCGTCGCAAATGTTTATTTACTCTGAACTCACGTCTCTCTAGGACATCTGAATTCTTGTGAGATTTCAGGAAGTCTCGCGTGGTTTAATATCTGACATCTGAATGTTTATGAATGAAGTATATTTTCGTGTGTGGTGTGTTGAGTCTTGCCGTGTGGCTGTACACCACACACTGTAGGACCAAACCTGGTAGATCCATGATTTTTCATCCTCACGTGTGGGCTCTGTCAGTCTTTGAAAATCGGCCGACTGTTTTAAAATCTTGTAGTGTGACTCAGCCTTAAGGCAGCCCAGGGAGCAGCTGTGGAACTGAGGGCCTTGCTCAAGGACCCAGAGTGGGGCAAATTCCACCCACATTTCTGATGTCAGTTTGGGGAGTTTGGTGACCTTCCAGTCACAAGCTCATTTTCTCTGAGCCACCATTCACCAAATGTCTCTTTTGTCTACAGGTTGTTGTTATTGATGACATAATTTTAATTTTTTTTTACTTTTGAGTAAATTTTTGTTTTTCTTCTGTTATATTTTCTCCCATCTTTTATCTGCCAATGCTAAGTTTTATAAAATGAACATAACCGCAATACAAAAACCATCTGTGCAGCTGTGCACAGTTCGTTGAGGAGACGGAGCTTTCTTTTCTTTTCTGTTTTCTCTGCACGTCTGACCTGGCAGCTACACATGCCCTAATGTGTTTGCATTATTTTAGCTGCCATGGCGACGTATCATTTGCCTCTCTCAGTCAGGGAAGCACCGCGGGGAGGAAAGACAAAGTTCTACTGAAAAAATAAAGTCTTTTCAACTCTGTTCTGTTGTGACATTTGTTTCTGTGGGTTGGTTAGAGCAGTTTGATTAGGATAGTTTCTGAGCTTCAGCTGCATTCTGAGGCGTTTGTGTACTAAAGCCAATATGACACCTGATAGGTTTATGTGTTTTTATGTGAGTACAGCTGCGTAGATGGATAATTATGTTATGTTAATGCTAACTCATTAATTGTCACCGTGAGTCGCAGCTTAAATTTGACCCAGTTCCTCTGAATTTGCAGGTTTACAGGTGGTTTTGAATTCCATTATAAAAGCCATGGTTCCCCTGCTTCACATCGCCCTCCTGGTCCTTTTTGTAATTATTATCTACGCCATCATCGGCCTCGAGCTCTTCATCGGAAAGATGCACGCCACATGCTACGTAATAAAATCAGGTAAAGCAGAGTTTCGTTTAATTTAATTGTCAGATTTTTTTGTTTCCCCCCACAGTTTCAATTAAAAACATTTGCTAACTTGCGTATTGTGCACAGCCAGCAGTCTCTGTGGGCGTATACTGGGATTAGTGCAGAAACATGTTTTAATCCCCGGGAATGAATAAAAAGATCCACCTTGTATGTGAATGGTGACAAGCTGCAGAAAACAAAACAGAGCAACAGATGGTGGAATAAATCCGCTGATTAAATAACTAATATCTGTCTGTTATGTAAACGTACTTGGCCTTTCCTCTAGCACTGCTTTCAGAATGAGAGTAATTCAAGAAATAGAAACCAACAGTTTATACAGTATATTAATACCAAATCAGTCAAAACATTCTCCTCAGGGTTTTGATTTTCACATTTCTGCTGTTTTCTGTGGATTTTGTTTGACTCCGTATTAAACCCTATGCAGAAGATTATGTGTTGGTTCTTTGTGTTCAGGTGCCCTTGCAGAAGAAGAGCCCACGCCTTGTGCGGTATCGGGTCACGGCCGCCGCTGCCTCTTCAACGGCACAGTTTGCAGAGAAGGCTGGCAAGGCCCCAACAACGGCATCACCAACTTTGACAATTTCCTGTTTGCCATGCTCACCGTGTTCCAGTGCATCACCATGGAGGGCTGGACCGACGTTCTCTACTGGGTAATCTGACGTCACATGAAGCCTGAATGGGACAACCACTTTTTGGTTTTAAACCAGCATGCTGGAGTAAAAATATCTTGAAAAAAATTTAAGATTTAAGAAACAAAAAGGGATGACTGCCATGTCACATCCCATGGACCTCTTCGCACCGTTCAGTTCCACAGACCAGAAACGGCACACAATGGTTTGTGGGATTGTTTGGGGCAGGGGCTGTTCTAGGGGTGGGGCCACAGGGGCATTGGCCCCATCTGAAATCCGATTGGCCTCCTGAAGTGCCCCTGTCCTTCCACTCATCTGTCCAAAAACATTGTGACTGCAGTTCCAACTCCAACCACTAGTGGCGCCAGTGAGTCAAATAGGAAAGTCCTGTCTTTTTCAATTTGAACAATTCTGCAGAAAAGTTTTTTACAGACAACGATAGCTAGATTTTCTCACACCTGTGTTTTAGAGTATTTTATTTATGTGCCGTAAATCAATCAATCAATCAATCAATCAATCAAACAATCAAACTTTATTTATAAAGCACTATAACATCAGCCACTGCTGAAACAAAGTGCTGAACACATGAAATAAAAACTGAATACAAAAACACAATAAAATCACACAAGTAAAATCAGCACCAATACAGTAAAAGTTGAGTAAAATCAAATCTCAGTTGGGTTGAAGGCCAGTGAGAAAAAAATCAAGTTTAACAATAATAATAAGTAAAACAATCATGTAAAATTGATAAGGAGAATTTACTGTGCAAGCTTTTACAAGTACACATGTGACTGATTAAATGTATGAACCTTGTAAAAGCTGAGGATTTACAGTATCTGCACGGATGTTGAACAAATACTGGCCCCTCTGTATATATTGTGGCCCCTTGATGGCCCCGTATACAGAAAAATCCTAGATTCGCCACTGGTTTGGGAGCACCAGAAAGAAAAGTCAATGATGGATAGGTTCTCAAACTTTATAACATTGATCTGTTGCACAGCTTAAATTTCTTTTGGTTTGTGATGTACCAGCTTCTAATCAGAAAAAAGACAAACTTGTCCAGAACTTTTACGCTGCTCAAATGTTGGGAACATTTCCAACAGCAGTCTCGAGATGCAAAATTGAGGCATGGTTATTCTGTTGTGCAATGATTTCACTAATGTATTGATTAGTATAATAGCTCACAGAATCAAATATATAACCAGAGAAAATCCCAGTATACAGTGATCATATTAACAGAATTATGACCAGTGGGGCTGAGTGATAAACATATGATCTACATATAATTTTGAGGCAGGCTGAGTACAAAACATCCTTCTTGGCCACACATCAAATTTGGCATAAATATTAATTTAATGTGTTTTTGTTATGACCCATTTTCAGTTTTCAAGTTAGCTTTACTTAGTGTAATGAAAGGGATATCCATGATGATATGCTGTTATATACGTATTCACGTTGAAAATTGCTATATTTTGAGGAGAAAAAGTCAGATAAACTGCAGCGTTGTTTTCTTATTCAGAAAATAATCACCATAATGAGGTCCAATTATTTTCGTGGAGACCTTTAGGAAATCTGATGTCTGTTCTGTGAGTGTCTGTAACTGATTCGCCTTGAGGCTTTCACTGAAAGCTGTCGTCTGGATTAACGCCTTTCTTTTTAATTAACAGGCACTTTAAATCTAACAAGCCGGTCTCATTTGAAAATCATCAGCTTCTCGTTTGAAGAAAAAAAAAATCAACAACAGCTTTTAATTAGCTGAAACACTCAACATTGAGAACGAGTTTTCTTGCAGTCCTCCCACTTCTTTTTATTGATGGAGACCCTCATTTATAAAATAATGACCCGCTCTCCCTCCTTCATTTCTGTCTTCTCAGGCTCTTTTTTTTCATACTTCACATCCTTTTTACTTTCCTCAGGATTATATTAATTGTTATGGCAAAGCTGTTGTTACAGTGGTGAAAGGTTACTGAACAAAGTTAAAACAATGGAAAAAAATAATTTGATATTTAAATATGACCTTTAACCTTTCTGACTGAAATCAGTTTAGGGTGTGTGTGCATGTGGATGTGGACTGGTACTCCCTACATTGTGGGACAGTTTTTTTGGCATACTTGTGGGGACCTAATGTTACTTAAGGGGACCTGACTGTTGCTTATGGGGACCCGAGTCCAGTCCCCATTGAGGGGAAACGTCGTTGGTGGGTCGAGGGTTGGGTGTGAATTGAGTTGAGGTTAGTTTTAGAGTCAGGTAAGGTACCTGTGAGGTTAGCCTTAGGGTTGGTGGTCATGGTTAGGCTGTAAAAATTAATGGAAGTCATTTTAAATTTTGACAGAGTAAATGCTGACTTTAAATACTCCAAATATCTGACTTTATGAGACATATTAAGATGTACACTGCTGAGTAGCTGGTGGTCGACTTAGATTTTAACTGCTTAAAACCTTTTCCTGTGATGTGGAGCACCTCATAGGAAAGAGATAAAAATAAAATATTTGAAAACTATTAAAAATGGTAAAAACCATTTTTGTGCCCTGAAGCTAAACAAATCCAAAGGTCAATATCGATCTGTTTAGTCTTGTTTTTTCCTGTTTTTTTTTTCTCTGTCTCCTGGATTTATGCTGCTTTTTTGGTCAAGTATCAGAATACTCTTCCACACTAATTAAATTTTATGTTTCTCTGCTTTTTTTTCCTGAATTAGATGAATGATGCAATGGGCTTTGAGCTGCCATGGGTTTACTTCGTCAGTCTGGTCATCTTTGGATCCTTTTTTGTTCTTAACTTAGTTTTGGGTGTGTTGAGTGGGTAAGTTCTTAATGATCACCTTCTGCTCCTGAACATCACAGGGGTAAATCAGGGTTGCTTCTTATTGAGGCATCCCAAACCCTCTCGTGTTCAGCAATGTTCTGGAAACACTAAAAATACCGTCGCCATCCTGCATGCTTTTCTCGCTTCAGAGAGTTTTCCAAAGAGCGAGAAAAGGCCAAGGCTCGAGGTGATTTCCAGAAGCTGCGTGAGAAGCAGCAGCTAGAAGAAGACCTGAAGGGCTACCTGGACTGGATCACACAAGCCGAGGACATCGACCCTGAGAACGAGGAGGAGGGAGACGAGGAGGGCAAGCGTAACCGTGAGTTTCAGAATCTTATTGATTTTCTTCTTTTTTCATATTTAAACCAGGAATATCAAGAACCCTAAAAGAACACCGAGATACCAAGTCTTGATTATTTTTAGCTTGTAAAAGTTGCTTCACGCTTGGATTTTGTGGATGATTTCCAACATTGAACATTTCCAGAACACACTACTCAGAATTAGATGTGGACTAAAAGCCAAATATTGTGTGACAAGGAAAAACTATTTAACACTTCAGAAACTAAACATTTCTCCATGAAGTATCATAAAGTCAAGCTAACATCGACTCAAAGAATTCAGAAGCTAATTTCTGCTCTTTAAAACTTTCAACTCAAAATTTCCACAGCAGAAAAAAACAATGGTGTATTTTTACACAATGTTTGATGCAGAAAGCAACAGAACCATCTTTTTTCCCCTGTACTCCTACCTCCTTAACCGTTGACATCTGCAAAAGGCTAAACAAAAAAAACATGCTTACAATTTAACAGTCAGATGCATTTGAAGTGATTGTAGTCTGAAGTCCAAGACAGTTTCCTTGATTATTTCACTTGAGGTGACCCCTACACAAAGAAAGAAAAAATGAAACATGACAGAATGTAAACCTAAATATCTGTCCAACCATAAATGATCTTCCCAGAAGATCAGAATGGAAGCTCAGTTTATGTAAATCATCATGTAAAACTGATCTGGAGGTGAAATGTGTGTAAAATCATATAAAACTCATCTGATCTGTATTGAAAACTGCCACAGTGCCTTGGAGTCAGTTCACTCGTGAATTTTGTTCTCCGGTAGCTGCTTTCACCACACATTGACTCTCTTTCTTTGATCCTTGCCGTGTCTGTGTGTTTAGTGAAAATGCTCTGTAAATTGCTGCTAACATTAGATTTATCCTCTTTTCTTCCTCTGTTTCCACATTTCTTCTGCTCATATTTCTGACAGTTTGTTTCTTTTCTGACTTCTGTTTTGTCCTTGTTGAATTCTTGTGTAATGCGAATCATTTACAGACATATATTATATTATCCATCCATCCATCCATTTTCTTCCGCCTATCCGGGGTCGGGTCGCGGGGGCAGCAGCTTCAGAAGGGAGGCCCAGACCTCCCTC